GTTAAACTACATTCAGCACTTCTGACACATAGTATAGATATATACTAGTTTGCCCGAACTGAAAAGTTTACCTAGATTGATAAGGCACCGGATGCCCATCGCACCCCATCGGTTTAGGTCGTGACAGAGGTACTAGGAGAGAATGAGGAGTCTGAGGCGGGGGGAGTGAATTGGTCCAAGCTCGTGAAGACGAGCTTGATGTGGAGGATCACCACGAAGCCGAGATAGAAGAAAATATTCACCAGGAGGGAGGGGTCGAAACTGAGGAAGATGAAATAATAGAGGAGAAGCAGTTGGGATGCGGACACCACCAAAATTACACATCGGTTTGTTTATGTGATTATGCTACTATTATTATCTATAAATTGAGTCTATCTTATCCTCTATCCACTTCACAGTATCACTCACGTACGCCTTATCCTTTTAACACAATATTTGAATTGCGATACTGCACCACATGAATCGGCTCATTTCTCTAAGGCCGTGAAATATGGCAAGTGGAGAGAAGCAATGAGATTAGAAATACAGACGCTGGAGAGTAACAGAAGATGATTAATAGAGGATCTGCCTCCTAACAAAAAGACTCTCGGTTGCAGGTGGGTTTACAAGATAAAGTACAACTCTGATGGAATATGCGCGACACAAGGCCCGACTAGTTATTCTCGGGAATAATCAAGTAGAGAGGATCGACTATAATGAAATGTTTTCCCTAGTGGAAAAAATGATGATTGTCCACATATTTTTGGCTGTAACAGCGGCAAAGAATTAGGAGTTACATAAAATAGATGTACATAATACCTTCCTACACGGGGATCTTCAGGAGGAGGTGTACATGAAATTACCTCTTGGGTTTCGAGTAGCAAGTCCAGGAAAAGTGTGCATACTTTGAAAGTCACTTTATTGGTTAAAGAAAACGCCAAGGTGTTGCTTCGCTAAGTTGTCGGTTGCCTTGGAGACTACGGTTCAAGCAGTCATACTCTGATTACTCTATTTTTATTCTGAAAAAGGCTGAAGTTCGAGTAAATGTCCATGTATATATTGATTATCTCTGGCAATGAGCCCGAGGCTATCCGCGAGTTCAAACCCTATCATGGAAAATACTTTCATATGAAGGATTTCGGTAGATTACAATATTTTCTAGGAGTAGAAGTCTCCAAAAATTCAGAAGGCATCTTCTTGGGCCAATGAAAATAGGCCTTGGATATTATCTCAAGGGATGGGTTATTAGGTGCTAAGCATGTGGGAATGTTGTTGGAACAGAAGCATTAGCTGGTATTTGCGGGTGGACGGGCGCTTGATGACCCTGGGCGTTATCGTCGTTTGACAGGACGACTTATTTATATATGCTTCACTTGGTCGGAACTGTCCTACAGTGTTTATATTTTATCTCAATTTATGCAGCAACCAAAAGAGGAGTACTAGGATGCAGCTTTACGGGGTGTTCGCTACTTGAAAAAGAATCCACGACAAGGTATTTTGTTGAAAAGAAAATATGATCTACGTCTCTATGGATGGTGTGACTCTGATTGGGCTAGTTGTCCCTTGATTCGACGCTCGCTCACATGTTGGTTTATCTCATTGGGTGAATGACCCATATCTTGGAAGACTAAGAAGCAACATACTGTCTCGATCATCTGTAGAGGTTGGATATCGTTCTATGGCAATGACAATCTGTAAGGTGAAATGCTGGAAGGAAATTTTATCTAGTTTAGGAGTGACTTACACTTCCTCTATTCATCTTTATTGTAACAGTCAAGCAGCATTGCACATAGCAAAGAATCCAGTCTTTCATGAGAACCAAACACGTTGAAGTGGACTGTTATTTTATTCGTGACGAAATTGACAATGGGAATATCTGTACTATCTTTGTGCCTTCACATGAGCAATTGACAGATACCTTTACGAAGGCATTAGGAAAATCTCAGTATGTTACTCTCTTGTGTAAGTTGGCATTTGTAATCTGAATGTGCCAACTTGAGAGGGGTATTAAGGAATGTGTGTGCACATGTGTCCGGGTATATATGAATAGTAAATATATTGTATGTTTAGGACTAGAAGAGTTTTCCTTTTCCATAATTATTAGGACTAGTTTTCCATATTTGTTAGGACTAAGGTTTACTATTTGACTTGTATATATATTCTTGTTAATCAGTTGAAGAAGGCAAGACTTTCCCTTCCACGCTTGGCCATTGTGTGCTTGCTTGTTTGGCAGATTACCTTTTATACATCCCAATAATTTTTTGTTTCTTTTTTAAATTCTATGTCCAATCAAACACCTTAAGCGAAAAGACTATAATGTTTACAGTATGAAACAAACTTTATATTTGCTATAATATTTTCCTCCACAACAATAATTAATATACAACACAAGTCAAATTTTTTTAAAAAAAAAATTGCTTATAAATATAAAGGGTAACAAGCAAATTCAGTCTACTAACAATATTTAAACGCGGTATCCAGGTAAGCACTATCATAAGAACTACTAGTATTTAGGAAGTAATTTCTTTATTAAATAGCTAAAATTGAAATATTAAGAGATAATATCCAAGTCAATGGTTCTCTTTAGTCAAAAATCATATAATTTCACTCATTAGAACTCATCACAAAGTTCGAACTAAAATATATATAAAAAAAATAATCTACTATAAAGTCATATTCATATGATATAAAGCTAGCTTTGAAGCTACTGATAAATATTTTATTGTAAAATCTTATTTAAAGCTAGATTGTCCACAAAATGAAACTTAGCAAATAATTTAATTCTTTAAAGTTGAATTAAATAACCTTCAAAATCAAGAGATAATAATTAGATTCGATATATAATAATCTGATTTGGTATTTAAAATCATTTATTAGAACCTACCCATCTGACTCATAGTATATAATTGAATGGTAGAACAAATACTTAACCGCGGACCCAAAATTTAAACAATGACAGAGGCAGCATCATCGACCACAGAGAAAAAGTTTTTGACTCTGAAGTCGTCAGATGGTGATGAGTTTGAGGTGGAAGAATCCATCGCCATTCAGTCTGTAACAATCAAGAACATGGTCGAAGATGGATGCTCCTCCAGCGTCATCCCGCTGAGCAACGTCAACACAGAAACCTTGATCAAGATCATCGATTACCTGAAGATGCACTCCTCGACTTCTTCAAATGAAGAAGAAATCGTGAACTTTGACAAGGAATTTGTGAGCATTGGCTTCAAAACCATCTTTAATATCTTAGAAGCTGCAAATTTCCTTGACATAAATAGTTTGCTTGAGTTGTGCGCTGAGACGGTGGCTAATAGGATTAAGAACAAGACGCCTGAAGCTGTTCGAAAGATTTTCAATGTCACTAGTGACTTCACCCCAGAGGAAGAGGCAGAGATTCGGAATGAGACTCCATGGGCCTTTGAAGGGGATCTTGATCACTCCCTTGATTAATTTATATTTGTGTCTTTACTGTTTATCGTTTCATGAGCTTCTAGTTTTGTTTGCGCCTCTTCTCTTTTGAGATGTGATTAATAAGTTATGGCATGAGTCCTAGTGTCTAAATAAAAGTTTTTTGGTAAATTTAGGGGTCGTCTATGTATTCAACGTATATTTATTATATATGTTGTTTCTTTCAAAAAAAATTCATGCATTATTCTACTTTTCTTTTATTCGATGTGTCAGCAATATGCTTATTGACTAGTACTCTACCCATGAAAGGTGCTAATTCGTTCATTAGTTAATTAATCACTAGAACTCTACTATATTTTTCTAATCTATTAATTAATTAATATTGATAAATTCCCATTAGGGTGTAGAAAAGATACATTTTCTGAACATTTATAGTTGAAAACAAATAATGGCAAGGATTTGAGTGAAGAAAATAATTCATCTCGTGAGAATCCCTAACACCGAGAATTCACGTCCTTGGACTTTCTTATCCAAGCAATTGAAAGCCATAAAAGGAAAACTTTCTCTCATTTTCCTTTCCATGGTTTGCAGTGGCACCCAAGAATATCAATTAAACAAAAAATGACATATGGAGATTAATTTGAAACAAACTGGAGATAATTTTTTAGATTAATTTGAAACAAACTTGTTTCTAAGATTATTCACTTAGGGGTCGTTTGGTAGGAGGCATTAGAAAAAATAATGCAAGCATTAGCTCTATGCATTACTAATACCTTGTTTGGTACCTTTTTTCAACTTGTGTATACATCATACTTGGCATTATTCTATGCATAAGTAATGCATAGAAAACCATGGCATTAGTAATACCAAGGCTTTAATACATGCATTAGCATGGTCAAAGACAACATTGGCCTTAAAGCTAGAGAATATGGAGGGCATTTTTGTAAGCAACTATTTTTTTTAAAAATTATGCAATGCATTATAATTTTAATACACCACACCAAACAATAAATAAGAAATAATATTTGCATAACTAATGCTTGCATTACTAATACATGTATTACTAATACATGCATTACTAATACACATTATTCCGTACTATTCTTATACACCCTACAAAACGACCCCTTATAATTCTGGTAGGAAAAACTTCTCTTTTAGTGGGTATTATACGCCACGAATTCTAATTAGTTGAACAACAATGCGAGTGTTAAGAAAAAGACGGTTTAGCAACTCCAATTGGATGCGGTGCCATTTTGATTTTAGTGGAGAACATGCAATCTAGGTTGGATTTCTCATTTGTAGCTAAGATGAAATTTCAAGAGATCACAATCCTCGATACAGAAGGAACTCTTGCTCATCCAATCCTCCCATCCAGTTGAAGAAAAACTTAATACTCTATTCGTTCCAATTTATGTGATGTAACTCAAATTTCGAGAATCAAATTTCTTAATTTTAACCGTGAATTCAGCCATAGAATCTCTAAATATTTTAAAATAAAATTTATATATTTGAAAATGACATAAAAAATACTATAAGTCACGATAGTTAACAACTCAAAATATTTAATAAGTATATGTGAAAATCATGGTCAACTCAAAATCCTAACTGCATTACATAAATTTAGTCAGAGAGAGTAATATTTATGCACATTTAAATTTACTTGTTGAAAAGCAGGATCAAATCTCAAGACCATCAAACTCGAGTCTTTAATTTCCGTTTCCCTTACTATTAAAATCTCTCTCTAACATTTATTTTTATAGTACAAAGATAATGAATATTTGATACGATCAAAGCTATCCCTAGTGAGAGAAGTATATTTCAGTTTGAGATTTAACCAAGCTTATTTTCTCCATGACCAGCATCACGATTGCCAATCCCTCCCAACCACTCCTCCAATTGTGCTTCTTTATCAGCCATAACTTCTTCATGCTTTTCTGATGAAGAGAGCAGTTGATAGTGCATCATTTGTAGCTCATTATTAGTTGGACTTGATAATGGCAACTCTTCATCATTTGCCTCTGAAACTGAGAACAAAGATCCGGCCGCTGCAGCAGATTGTGCATCATCAGTATAGGTTATTACATCAGATTCTTTGGACTCTAATTGAGACCACTTGAAGCTATTAGCTTTTTCTTTCGTTGACCTGAAACAGAAGTCAATGGATTTCATTTCATTGGTTTCAACTAAATACAGTACTTCTGACACATAGTATATATATATGTGTGTGTGTGTGTGTGTGTGTGTGTGTGTGAAAAATTACTAAAATTTCAACAAATATTAAATCTTGAAGCCATAATTTCAAGAGTGCAGTGGACTCGATAAGAACCTTAAATTCTAGATCCGCCTCTGACCTGAAAACATTTGAGAGATAACCACTCTCAGCATCCAATTCTGGAACTGTACTTCGACCCCAAGTGGCAGGACTCCAAGAACTAGTTCGCCCTAACTGAAAAGTTGACCTGGACTGCCTTATTAACCCTTTTCTCAATTGCTTACTCTTCGACACAACAGCTAGAGAATGTCTCAGATCTTTAATCATCTCATTAGCAATTGGTGCACCACAATCTTTCATCGACCTGATCATGGTGATAGAATCCTCTGAATCTTCCGCGTGCAAAGTCACTTCACGAGATTTTTCCTCAATATTGTTCTTGAGATTGATAAGGTTGGGAGCTGCACTCTGAGTATGATGTTGAATGTAGAAAAAACCCATGGAGGGCTCATTAGCGATGAACTTTATCATGTCCGCCAAGGATTCAGTTATCTCTACAAAGCCATCCGTCGCAGAAAATTCGTGCATTTTCTTGAAGGCCAAAGGTTCATCATCACTGGTGGTACAAAAACAAGGAGCAATTGAGTTATAAACAAATTATTAAATTCTTTTTTTAACAAATTATTATATTAGTCTCTTTTCCTGCAAATGAGAAGAAGCTGATACTTAGGTGTAAAAATTTGGCACGGTTTATTTCCAAAATGCAGACTAAGGTTCTTTTTCTTGATCAATATGATGCCATAATTTTGAACCACACTTTTCTTTAGTCACAGCAAGTATTTCATGCGCTTAGGTTGAAGATTCAATAGACGTGGCTAATTAATCCTTAATTCAAATACAAATCATCTCGGGCAACTATTGAACTCCAGTCTAAAACAACAAAAACATGTCAACTGGAGTTTTAAATAAGTCATTATGCTCTCTAACAATTGATTGAAGTACATTAAAAGTAATGTTGACCGACCAAATCCTCATAATCAGAAGCATGCAGACAATGAACAAAAATTACTCTTATTTCACAAAAAGGTCCTGGTAACTCAGCGCCTTTGGCAGATCAACAGAAATGAACCTCCCAGACTCTAATAACAAGTATCATTAGAAGTACTACCTCGTGGAAAAACAAACCATTTGTTAGTTCCAACAGAATGTAACAGGCACAAAGGTGATGGATCGAGAAGAGACTCCATGTCATATACACCAGCATCACGTAATATAGATAGACACAATTGTGTATCACGATTATGAAGACAAGGTTAACTAAATGTGCAACTGTCTTCCTCCTTTTCATAAGTTATCTTCATAGAAACTTTACAGGTAGAAATGCTTTAGCATGCGTATTAGAGACCAAAATGAAAACCAAACGGATTCGCTAGTGATTCTGACTTCTAGTCAATTCATATCAGAACTAAATCAACCGATTATCCCCCATGTGACCCTCTTATCTACTACTCCTACCATCTAAAGCCGAAGTCAAACTGTCAAACAAAAGTTCTTCGACCACAGAGAAAAAGTGAGCAAGAGGTATTCAGGTTCTGCACTTATCATTCAAATAATAGAGACATTCAAGATGCACCAAAGTGCTGATATGGACTACTCAAGAATGTTAGCAGGTGATACCAATCATTACGTCTCCTCCTAGCTATATTTTGTTGACTACACTAAAGCAACAGCTTATCTAGACTCCATAATGTATCATTCTATGTTACTTTCGATAATCATGGACTTGAGTTGCAGCTTCACATTATCCATAACGCCGTAACAACATACTATATTTCCAAAGCAACTAGCAGTCCATTTAACCAAGAATAATCGAATGGATTGTCCGGGAAAAATATATCAATTTGTCAAACATGATTCCAAGGAAAAGAAAGAGAGAAGGGAACACGGGTGTTTATTCTATTTTCTTTAAATATCTTACTTGAACATAGATCTTGCCCACTGAAAAGCCAAATTGAAGCTGTAGACAATATAACATGCGGCACAACCTGCAGATTCAAGTATCAGCTTACAAAGAGAATTCTTATTTGGTAATATTTGCTACACTTTCCATCAAATATGCAGAAAAAGAAACAAGCCTATGAGTAATATAATAAAAGGGCAGCCCAGTGCACAAAGTATCCTGCATTGACGCGGGGTCCTGGAAGGGCCCCACCCGAGGGGTGTGACGCAAACAGCCTAACCTAATGCAAGCATTAGAGGTTTCTTCCACGGCTCGAAGTTGTGCTCTATTGGTCACACGGAGACAACTTTACCGTTGCTCCAAGGCTCCCCTTCAATATACTCTTAGGTGCAAAAACCTAAGAGTGAAGGGCAGCCCGGTGCAATTAAGATACCGCTCTATGGGGGGTCCGCGGAAAGGCCGGACCACAAGGTATATTGTACGCAGTCTTACCCTGCAATTCTGCAAGAGACTGAGATCATATGGCAGCAACATTACTCATATTTTATAAGTCAATTACACATATATATTAAACTCTTCACCTAATGTACATAATTTGAACAGAAGTTCATGCAAACCTCAAAACAATTTTCTGAGGGAGTTTTGCGAAGGGAATTTCTCCTTTAAGATGATGAATTCAATGGTATATGGGGGGTTTTAAATCTTCTGAGTATATAATTACGAGTAAACTGAAATTAAGTCCTATAGCTAGTCACAAAGATAAAGCTCCATTTATAAAATAAACCTAAAAAAATCCAAGTTCAACAAATTAATTAATGAATACCCACCAAGATTAAGAAAAAGACACAGTCATATTGTCTATTAATTATGTAATTAAACAGGAGTAAAATTTATTGATTGGACTTACCGGACAAACAAGAAAAGAAGCAAGTATCAAGTTGGGGAAGCCATGTTTAGATTGTAAGCTGATTTTTGTGAAGCTTTGGTTCTGCTTGTTGCTCTACTTTCACATCATTCGGATAAGTTCTTGTTTTTGTTTTTCCTTTTTGTCCTTTTTTGTGTAAAGGGTCAGTGTTTGTATGACATTTGACGCATGTGATAACAAGTTAAAGTTAAACGGACGACAGATAAAGACAAACTTCCTTTTTGAATAAAATAATTTTGTTACGAAATATAACTCGAAGTAACAATATGGAACAAGAAAATAAAAGCAATTTAGTAAAATATGAACAAGAAATGGAGATAGAGAAAAGGGAGAGATTTTCTTCTTCAATTGTGTGTATTTTCATATCTATTACAAGGCTTTTATATAGGCATAAAAAGTGAAGAAAATATGTCATGAAATATGTCATTGAACATACAAAATATGTCATTGAATATGTCATTAAGCATTTGAGATGAAGATCATAGAAGAAGAGTAGACATCCACCATAATATGATATTTATCATAACACTCCCCCTTGGATGTCCAAAGATAATGTGTCTCGTTAAAACTTTACTAGGAAAAAACCCTATGGAAAAAAAATCCTAGTGAAGGAAAAGGAGTACACATGATTAGAAATACGTCATTTTATTGCCTCGTTAAAAACCTTGCAAGGAAAACTCAATGGGACAAAACCTTGTAAGGGAAA